TCTGTCTCCCCTGGACTTCCACCTGTCTGACCTCTGTTCCTGTTTGCTCACGTCTGGGGCGTGTCTTTCTGATGGCTGTTGTATGGTCAGGTCTGCTGTATGGCCACGTCTTGTCACGTGTGTACTTACACCTGGGTCCTGGTCACGTCTGAAAGATGTTATGTCTGGTTACATCTGGTATAGCATTACAACCGGGGTCATGTAGAGCTGGTCACGTGCGGGCTCATCTGTGACCAAGGACATTTGGGGCATGTGAGGCCCATCTAGCTGTCGTCTGAGATGCTGTTTGACATTGTCATCTTCTCCTGCTGGTCACATCTGGGCCATGTTTGGAGCTTGTGTGAGGTCTGGGACTCACGGTCCCTACATGAACTGTCTGAGACAGTATTTGAGTCTTTTCCAAGGCATGTGTTATAGTATGTTTGGGTCATGCCTGAGGAACCATCTGGGTCACATGTGGGCTATGTCTGGGACATTAAAGTGACCGTATTTAGCTTCTACCTGGAGCCTGTGTGTGGAGCATACATTTACGGCCGTGTTAGAGCATCTGATGTGCATGTCAGAGCATGCTGTCTCTTGTGGGGAATTGTGATGTGTTTTGTGACCATGTGAGGACTTGTGAGCACATGTCGGGGTCATGCTCCATGTCCCAGGTCCGTGTCAGAAGATGACTTGTCAGAAGATGTCAGAGAGTGCTGGGGCGGACAGGGCATCCTAGGTCCTTGTGAAGGCATTTTGCAGAGTGCTGAGCTATGCTCAGGGGTTGCAGCACATGTTGGATCATGCAGGAGGCATGTCGAGGAGTGCTGGAGGCCTCACGTGACTCCTCCATGCCATGTTAGGCAGTGTCATTGCTGTGCTGTACTTACTGCCTTAGCCTGGGCTGCTCTCCTCCACTCCTCCATCCTCCCTTCTTCCTCTGCCCTCGGTTCCCTTCCTGCTATGTGGGGCTTGGAGGTGGAGAAGTGCAAACCTCTGGCTGGGAGCCTCCCCCCACCCCCAATGTCCCTCCTTTTCCTGACTCCATGGCCCCTGAATGTCCTCATTTATGTCAGCCGCCATTGCACCAAAGGACAAGTTCTACAGCTTCCTGAAGCCCTGGCTGGGTGAGTATCTGCAGGTGAACAGGGTTGGGAACAACCTGGGGGGCCAAGGGAGGGTGCTGCCCTTGACACAAGACCCTTGGCTGCCCTGCCAGGGGACGGGCTCCTGCTGAGCGCCGGTGACAAGTGGAGCCGCCACCGCCGGATGCTGACGCCCGCCTTCCACTTCAACATCCTGAAGCCCTACATGAAGATTTTCAATGACAGCGTGAACATCATGCACGTGAGTTCTTTGAAACCAGGGTCCCGGTTACAGCTTTGGGGTGGGGGAACCACAGACAGATGTGGTCTGGAATTTTGGCTCTGCTGGGTGGCATTGGGCCATTGCTGTTCCCCTCTGAGTCTTGGTTTCCTCAACTGTAAAATGGGGAAAATAATCCCTACTTAAGGAGATGGTCGAGGTGATGTAATGGAGTCACCTCCCTGGTACACAGTAGGTGACCAGAAGGTACCTGTTTCTATGTTTCCATCTTCCAAGCCCTGTAAACTGAAGAGGGTCATGACGACAATTGCATAGCAGCTGGTACTGAGTAAGAAACTGCTTGAAAACGCAGTGGTTTAAAACAATAAGGATTTATGATTGCTAATAAGTCTGTAGGACAGTTCTTCTGGATGTGGAAGGGATCGCTCATGGTACTGGTCAGGTAGGCAGCCTTGCAGGTGTTGGCTGAATTCTCTCACATGTCTGGGTTTTACCTGGGACATGATTGGGTTCTCTCACATGTCTGGGTTTGGCCTCAGCTGGGACCCCTGGATATTCCTCTCTGTGATTGTCTCCTTCCAGTAGGCACCCCATGGTTCACAATGCAGGCAGGTTTCCAGGGAATGAGACAAGGCCCAGCTTCATTAGTTATTTCCTCATCATTTTCACCACATTGCATTTTGACATCGAAAACCTAAAGTCCAACACAGAATCAAAGGCGGGGGGTAAAATAGACTGTGTCTATTCATGGGAGTTGCTGAAAAATCACATTGCAAAGGGCGTGGATATGGGAGGAAGGAAAGAATTGGGGCGAAGGTTTTGTGAAGTGTCTAGGGTTTTTAAAAAAAATTTGTAAATTGATAAGTTAGCCTGTTACCGTTTCATAAATTCTTCCAGAAAGACAAGAGACTCCTGGTTCAGAGAAAAAGGATAGTTTACTACTCATGACACAGAGAGCAGCATGTGTTTCTTATTAGATTGCAGTTTTTTCTCCAAGCTTCCCAAATCCTGTGGGCTGACACAGGTGTGCTTCTATAAATGCCTCCTGACATAATATATTGCATTACAGCAAAGGAGCATTAAGCTTAGGGAATCTCCTTCATAGCAAGCAAAAGCGACATGTCCAGGGGAGTCATTACCTTATCCCTGAGTTATTCTCTGCAAACACAACTGTAAGAAATTTTCCATGTTAAAGTCATCTGTATCTTGCATTCATGACATGTCCAGGAAGGATGCCCAGGAGTCATGGAAGACTGCCTCTTCCAAAACAGGGATATTTTCGAAATCAATTTATGTGGGAAGTAAAAGTTCCTCTTCAAAGTTTCCTTTCCTGTTAAAGAACGAATTTGCTGTTAACTCTTTGTTAAGTCCTATCCTATGTATCTGTTAAACATGCCATGCTTATAGGCATGTAGTATATTCTATGTCCTTGTACTTTAACCAAGATATCTGTGCTGGATGGGCTCACAGCCATGTCCCAGCTTGCAACCTATGCCTCTTACCTGTTTAAAAAAGTTTTAAGCCGGGCGCGGTGGCTCAAGCCTGTAATCCCAGCACTTTGGGAGGCAGAGGCGGGTGGATCACGAGGTCAAAAGATCGAGACCATCCTGGTCAACATGGTGAAACCCCGTCTCTACTAAAAATACAAAAAATTAGCTGGGCATGGTGGTGCGTGCCTGTAATCCCAACTATTCAGGAGGCTGAGGCAGGAGAATTGCCTGAACCCAGGAGGCGGAGGTTGCGGTGAGCCGAGATCGCGCCATTGCACTCCAGCCTGGGTAACATGAGTGAAACTCCGTCTCAAAAAAAAAAAAAAAAAAAAAGTTTTAAGTTATTAGCCAATCGAGTTTTAGTTTAGATTGTAAGCTCTGGCTCCAACAAACAGAGATCAGACACAGAAGTAAGGACAACCCCAAATGCATAAGGGATGGATATGTCTGCTTTTATCTTGTTCATTGTATTCTCATGGCAAGATGGCTTGCAAGGCTACCCTTCCTACAGGAAGTAAAATTTGCTTGCTGAGAGATCCTTTGTCTCAGGGCTGAGTTTTCTTTGTGGCACTGAGCATCTGTTTCCAACAATTTGTAACAAAGTAGATGAGGAAATCCAACATTTATTAAGCACTCACCGTATGCCAGAAACAATGCCATGTGCCCATTCCAAGATATGAGCATATATTTTGTAATTTGATTTTAAAAACTCTGTGAAGGAGAGATTATGTATTTCTGCCCCATGGTAGAAGATAAAACTGCAGGTCTGAGAGATTTGGGAGCTAACTCAAGCTCACCCAGCTAATGAGTGAGCTTGGCATGGTGGAGCAGAGTTTCTAACATGAATTATATGGCTCCAAAGCACATCATCTTAACTGTTCCTGAGAATTTGACAGGTGGGATGTAGGGGAGGGTAAGGAGCTGACTAACGGCACACGGAGCACAGGAGGCAGAGCTGGAACTTGAACCTAGGTCTCTTGACTCCCAATCTTGGGTCTTGATCTCTTAACAGTAACAGCTTTTGCCCCCACCTTAAACTCCTCCCTGGAGAGGGGTCCCTGGGGAGAAGATAAAGAGGCTTATTCTGGGGGGTCCCCCTTGGTGGTTGGGGTTTGAGAGATGCTCAAGGAAGCAAGGGACCCAGCTCTCTCCCCTTCTCTGAGTAGGCCAAGTGGCAGCGCCTGGCCTCGGAAGGCAGTGCCCGTCTGGACATGTTTGAGCACATCAGCCTCATGACCCTGGACAGCCTGCAGAAATGTGTCTTCAGCTTTGACAGCAATTGTCAGGAGTGAGTTCTTGCCCAGGGTCTGGGATCTTGGGACATGGACCCCAGGTGGGCAGGTGGGGGAGGCAGGACTGAGCATGGACATCAGAAAAACCTTCCTGGAGGAGTTTTGTTATAGCTGATCATTGAAGGACTGGCGTGAACTTTATTTTGAGTTTCCTAGGGAGCCATTGAAAGGGTTTGAACTGGTGGGTATAGTCAGAGTGGGTCTCTGTCAGGGACTGACTGTCATGCAGTGCTAAATGGACTTAAAATGGATGCAAAGAGGCTAGTGTGGAGGCTGGACCATGGACCAGGTGGAGGGGAATACCTTCTAAGGTTTGTGGACAGTTTCAAGAAGGAGAAGGGGCAGGACTGTACTGGGAGGGAGAGAGGAGTAGAATGTGCAAGTTGTTCTGGGTGCCTCGGGGCATGGAAGCATCTCACAGAGATGGGATGCAGGGAGAGAAGAGAGCTTGGAGGGTCAGTCTCATGCTGATCCCCACCCTGTATGGGAGGGGTCATCTGTTCCTGGATACTGTATTTGCTGATAGGAGGTTGCTCCTGGCTGCTGGTGGGAGGTGCTCCTGGGGTTTCAGGTGTCTTAAATTGTTGTCTCCCTTTCCCCCCTTATCCTGCAGGAAGTCCAGTGAATATATCGCTGCCATCTTGGAGCTCAGTGCCCTTGTGGTAAAAAGACACCAGCATCTCCTCCTGCACTTGGACTTCCTGTATTATCTCACTCCCGATGGACGGCGCTTCCGCAGGGCCTGCCGCCTGGTGCACGACTTCACAGACGCCGTCATCCAGGAGCGGCGCCGCACCCTCCCTAGCCAGGGTGTTGATGACGTCCTCCAAGCCAAGGCCAATTCCAAGACTCTGGACTTCATTGATGTGCTCCTGCTGAGCAAGGTGGGCTTCTCTGGGACCTGAATTCAAGAAGCAGAAGGGAGCT